TTCTCACTGGTAGGATTCTCGACCAAGTCCTCTTATAGAACCTCAGGAGATAATGGATTTGGGGAGAAGGGGAGAGTGTGATGAAGAGGCCCTTTCCTTCTCTCAATGCTTGACTGGTCTCTGTCTTACCCTGATCTAGATTACCATCTTCTGTGGGACACCATGTGGTATAAAGGAAGGTATACTAGATGGGGAGTTAGAAGACCTTAACTTGAATCAAGATGGCTCCTTGCTACTTATGGGGCCTTGGCCAAGTCACTAAACTTTTCTAGATCTGTAATGTCCTCCTTCCCATCTCTACATCCTGCGAATTTCTCATTGTGCTATATGCCCTGCTATCACATTTGAGGAAAGGACATTGATCAAGCTGGAGTATGTGCAAAGGAAAGGGACTAGGAGGTTGAGGGGACTGGCAACTATGGCCTACAAGGATCAGTTTGGGGCAGGGAGGTGGTGCAGTGGATAGAGTACCAGCCCTGGAGTCAGGAGGACCTGAGTTCAAATCTGGCCTCAGACACTTGACACTTATGTGTGACCATGAGTAAGTCACTTAACCCTGATTGTCTTGCCCCCCCCCAAAAAAAAGAGTTAAATAAAAAAGGATCAGTTTGAGGAACTGGGAGAAAAGGAAAGGAAAAATTTGGAGGAGAAATGATTATAGGATTATATATTAAGTACTGAAAGGGACCCTAGAGGTCATCTAGTACAACCCCCTCATTTTACAGATAAGTCTCTTGTGAAGAGATTTGCCCAAGGTCACACAACTAGTAAGTAGTAAAGGCAAGATTTGAACCCAGATCCTCAGACTCCTGATCCACTTCTCTTTCCTCTGCACCACCAACTCTGATCACTGTCTCCACATATTTGAGTCTGTAGGAAAAAATCGTAGGCTTTATAGTTGGAAAATCCTTAGATATCATTTAGTGCAACCCTTTTATTTTTCAGATCAGGAAATGTAGGGTTGAAGAAGCTATAATGTGGAAATGGGGTTTTATTTATTTATTGCTTGCTCTTCAGTGGATAAAGATTAGAGGCAAACAGATCAAAAATCGATATTGGGGGAAATGTTCTTCTAATTAGAACTGCCTTGAGAGGGATTATTTTACCTATCACGGAAGGTCTTCAAGTAGAAGCTGAATGACAGCATGTTCGAGTACCGGAGTAGGGTTTCTGTTTGGGGTTAGGTTGAATAGACAGCCTCTGAGGTCTGCCTCCAATTCTGAAATACTGTGATTCTATGATTCTACCTAGACCAGAAATGGGGCAATTCCCTCCAGCTAGCGCCATCCCTTGCCTGGATCCCATGCTAGACTAGAGATTGTTCAGGGTGAGTTTTAAAAAGGTAATAAAAAACCCCTAAAGGTCACTGCATGGGGCTTTTGGGTCTCACTTGATGCACAGGTCTTGTCTGACACATTCAGGACACTTTTCCAGTTGCTGAATCCTGCTATGAGAAATGCTATGAGTCCTGCTCCTCAACCCTGGCCTGACATGACACTTCCTCTTGCTAAGGTTCACTGCTTTCCCAAGATGGGCCCCTCTTACACTATCAGGGAAGCTAAAAGTCACCTAGGACCAACCTGGGATACTATACTTAAAGGCACTACTCTGGACTTTGGCCAAAAGCTCTCTTCCAGCTCTCTGGCCCCGTCTTTCTCTGCTTTCACTTTGGGGTGAGGTTATGGTAAGATGTTCCAATCTATCTCTCTGGGGAAAGTACAGCTCTAGGCTGGCTGGTCTGCCTGGGAGGGCAATCAAGAGGTGAAATTGGAGGACAGGCAGTTTGGACATGAGTCATAATGAGAATGGATGGTAACTGGTGTCAGGAGGGGCTTCCGGCTCCCTCCCAAACAACAATTGAGTTTCTAAGCGATTTGCTTTGGCAGGGCACTGATCTTAACAGATGCCTGTAGGTACCTTGAGAGAGATTGGTTTTGATGGAAGCCAGAATGGATATTAATGTTTATTTGCTGTGGCTAGTGCTATTCACATGATAACTGCTTTTTCTGAGGTTTTTTTTTCTTTATCATGCCAAAGCTTCAGATCCCAGCCCCTGAGTGGAAGATTGGTGTCATATCAGAGTTCCTTATTGACTTCTCTTGTAACCTTCCTGATACTAACTCAGTTGAAATTACCCGCCTCCCAGCCCAAATCCTCAATGACTTCCCCCGAGATTAGTCCCAAGTCCAATAGAGAGGGGAAGATCCATCGCTTCTTCTGGTGTCTCAGTCTTTTATTAAGACTGTCCTAACCCTTAACTCTGATTTCTAGGCTACAAGAGCAGCTTTTTCTTCTATGCCTCACTCCTAGGAATTTCTGAAGGCAGAGATACACCATAACTCAGTTCCTCTGTGGACCCAGAGAACAAAAGAGCTTTCAACTGCCAGACACGTACTGAGTGCATTCAAAAGCTCTCCTTTCGAGCCTGAAGACATGATTGGTGACGTGTTTGTCTTTTAACTCTTTTGAGAAGTCTAAGATTCTGTATCACTAGCTGTAATGACCTGCCCTCACTCAAACTCTACTTCTCCCTACCCTTGCCCTTCCTTTTCCACTGATGGCACAGGAATGATCTCTTCCTTTCAGCTTTCACTAACTCTTCACCATCCCTCCCCCATTACTCTCTTATTCCCCTGGCTAACCCTGCTTCTTCTTTTTAGTCACTTATTTTATTTGAAGCCAAACTTCTCCCTAGATATCTCTTGGCTTGGAAATCAATACTTTAAAAATAGTCAACATCAACTTCCTCTTTGAAGAAAGATGTGCTGTGGTTGGTGGCTCTGTGCATCCATCATGGACATCTTTACTAGGTATCAAAGACTGCCCCTTGCCTAGCATATACATCCCAGCACTCACAGCATGACCAGGCAAATGGGCCTAATTAGTTGACCCAAATTTGGACCCATATCCTACCAAAACTTGGAAGGTTAGAGAAAGCCTGGTTTGAGCTATTCATTTTCCCATTGCTGCTGTGATCCCCAGCTTTGGCCAACTCATATTCCCCCCTATTCCCTACCTTGAAGTCATGGGGATCTCTCTCAGGTTCAGGAGCCAATTAGCTCCGGACATTGGCCCTTTACAAGGTGGTTACTGTCCACTAAACTTCTAAGACATGGCTTCCCAACCATAATCTACCAACGAATCTTAAAGTCTTATCCAATTGATGTCTAAGCTGGTTGCCGCCATCATATGCCCCTTTCCATGGCTTACTGAGTATCCTAGCTGGAAGGGAAAATCTGTGTCAATGGACATGGTGCATTTGCATGTACTAGAGAGAGTAAGATGATAATTTTTACTTCAAAGTAAAATGTTATCTGCTAATAATTATGTTATTTAAAGTACATTTGCATAGCTGAGAGAAATTATAGTAAAGCTATTTTAAATTATAAATTTAAGTAATTTAAATATAGTAAAATTATTTTTTAAAAATTACAAAGCTTTTTCCACTCCAGTCCAGCTTCCACTTGGTTGTCAAAGTGATCTTCCTAAAGCACAGGGTCTGACCATATCCCTGTCTCCTTCTCTCTCTCTCTCAATCTCTCTCTCTTTCTCTCTCTCTCTCTCTCAGTTTTTCTCTCTCAATCTCTCTCTCTCTCTCTCTCTCTCTCTCTCTCTCTCTCTCTCTCTCTCTCTCTCTCTCTCACACACACACACACACACACACACACGCCCCCATGTGGATCCCCCCCAGAATTAAATATAAAATCCTCTGTTTAAAATCCATAGCTTTTCATAACCTTCCCCTCCACCTTGATAGTCTTTCTTTACCTTCTACCTTTTTTTTTGGAATTGACTTCTTTATTACCCCAGGGGTCTTTTCCATTAAAAGGTAAAAGAAGGTACAGGAACAAGGAAAAGAAACCAAAGCAAAAACACAAGCGGTGTTAGAGCTCCCAAGAGTCACCAAGCTAGTCAATGTTGCGGAAGCTCCCAGATGGTGCAGAGCACCCAGGTACTCTGAGATCCACAATGGAACACTGGCTTCTTTGCTATTTATTCTCTGAACATGGCATTCCATTTCCTGACTCAAGGCATTTTCCCTGGCTGCCCCTATGCCAGGAATGCTCCCCCTTCTCGTCTTCTCCTCCTAGCTTCCCTACCTTCCTTCAAGTCCCATCTAAAATCCTGCCTTCCAGGGGCAGTTAGGTGGCACAGCAAATAAAGTGCCTGGCCTGGAATCAGGAAGATTCATCTTCCTGAGTTCAAATGTGGCCTCAGACGCTTACTAGCTGTGTGACCTTGGGCAAGTCACTTAACCCTGTTAAAATTAAATAAATAAATAGATAGATAGATAGATAGATAGATAGATAGATAGATAGATAGATAGATAAATAAATAAATAAATGAGCGAATAAATAAATAATAAGTAAGTAAGTAAGTAAATAAATAAATAAATAAATGAGTGAGTAAATAAATAAATAAATAAAGCCCCATCTTTTACAAGAAGTCTTTCCTGGTCATTCTTTAATTCTAGTATTTTCCCTCTGCTGACTTTCTCCAGTTTTTCCTGTATTTAGCTTGTTTGCATATAGTTGTTTGCATGTTGTCTCTCCCATTCGACTGTGAGCTCTTTGGGAGCAGGGACTCTCTTTTGCTTTGCATCCCCAGCCCTTAGCACACAATGGGCACTTAATAAATGTTCATTTATTGCTGATTGACACTTCAATATTCTTTCTATCATCCCCCTTTCCTCTCTTCAGCATTTGGAAAACAGACAAGTAAAAACTCATCTCACTAAAAATAATAGCCACCCACTCAAGGCAAGTAATTTGTTGTGCCAGAGAAATAAGGAAGGACATGGATTCTTGTCTCTGACACAAGGGTGATCCTTGTTTTTACTGCCTTAGGGAGAATGGGCTGGTCAAAGAAGGCTGGAGGCTTGCTTGTCGTGAATGTGTCTACGAGCCTTCCTTAGTCATATCTCAGATGCGTCACGGACCACAGGGAACTAGAGGGTGTTTATGTCTGGAAGAGTTTGCCTCTGGGGCAGGGGGACTCACCGTCCATCCCCCTCCATCAGTGCTCATGTCGCAGTAGACCTGGAAGCCTGAGGGGTAATGAGTGGGGAAAACAGAGTAAATCCCATCTTCCTGCTGGCCACTGGCATAGATGTCCAGACAATCTCTCGGGCGGGAGCCTGGAAGAAGAGATGGAGCCAGAAGCATTAGGATGGGGAGAAAAATAACTGGGCAAGTTAGGAAGTTTTATGACATGGCTTCCTGTCTGGTCCATTACATTCTCTAGAAAGCAACTAAACCTCGTCTGGGGTTGTGCCTCCTTTTGTCTGTGAGGCAGTCTTTCTGTCTTGGGGATTGGAGCAGAGGGGTGTGTGTGTGTGTGTGTGTGTGTGTGTGTGTGAAGGACCAAGAAGACAAGACTGAGTAATCTTGTGCATGGAACTGAAGCTCGAAGAGTGAATGGTTTTAAGGGGCAGGGAAGATTAGTTCCCCTGGAAAACAGTTCTCAGCCCTTTGTCCTTGTTATAGGGCTCTGCAGCTGCTGCTACATCTGAGGAATGAGAGCTGGTCTGTCCTCTGGGACAGTCAGTCAGTAAACATTTTCAGTCATTTTTTGGTTGCGTCCAACTCTTTGTGACCCCATTTGGAGTTTTTTCAGCAAAGATCCTGGAGTGGTTTGCCATTTCCTTCTCCAGCTCATTTTATAGATGAGGAAACTGAGGCAAACAAGGTTAAGTGACTTGTCCAGGGTCACACAGCTAGTAAGAGTCTGAGGGCAGATTTGAATTCAGGAAGATGAATCTTCGTAACTCCAGGCACTTTATCCACTGCATCACCTAGCTGTCCATAGTAAACATTTATTAAGTGCCTACCACTGTGCTAAGCACGGGGCATTCAAAGAAAGGCAAAAAGACAGTCTCTGCCCTCAATTTGCTCCCAGTCTAACATGGAATGTAGATTGGGGAGAGGAGGCCTGATAGGCACAGGAAAGAATAAGCTCACTCACCATTAGAACAGCCCCTTGGCCTGGCCCCCCTGGAAGGGACTTTTTGCAGGTCAGCCTTGATTCGAGGCCGTGCAGCCCCTCGATCTTTCTGCAGAGTGTCCAGGACGTCACTGACGGAGCTCACCAGGTGGGCCATGTTGCTCTGGCTCTCTGAGAGGAGCTGTAGCACCGGGGGAGTGGGGGGGGGGAGGGAAGGAAGGATACCGATTCAGAACAGGCAGGAAGCACACCACACAATCTCTTAGGCAGGGCATCTGGTGGAAAGGGCACCCAGCTTATGGAGTCAGAGGACCTGGGCTAAAACGTCGCTTCTGCCTACAGGATCTCAATCTCTCTGAACTTCAGTTTCCTCACCTATAGCACTTGGCCACCTCCCAGCTCAAAAGCAATGATCCCATGATCCCTCCTCACGTTCTCTTAGAGTGCATCTCTTTTAGGCTTAGCCTGAGATCTAGGACTCTTCGTTTGTAGATGGGGAAATCGAGGCCCAGAGAGGTTCAGTTGATTTACCCAAGGTCACACAGGTAAATAAGTAGGAGTAGAATTAGAAACTTCCACCTTTTAACCCTGAATTTGGTGCTATATCAGGCTACCTTGTATCATACTTATTTGTACATGTTATACCCCTCTATTAGACTGTAAGACAAGGCAAAGGAAATGGCAAATCATTCGGGCATCTTTGCCAAGAAAACCCCAAATGAGGTCATGAAGAAATGTACCCCACTGAACAACAACATTAGACTACAAGCTTCCTGAAGGCTGGTACTGTATCCTTTTATTTTTTTCCATCTTTATATCCAAGTACCCAGATAAAGGACTTAACACAGAAGGTGCTTAGTAAATGTTCAGTTGCACAAGAGCCAGTGGCTTTCCTCATCCTTCCTAAACTTTGCTGTCCTACTCTATCCCAATTAATTAACCCATAAGCATTTATTAAGTACCTACTCTTCACCACCTTCTTAGGCACTGGAGATACAGGGCAAAAGTGAAAGTCTCTGCCCTCAAGGAGCTTACATTCTCTCAGGAAAATTAACATATTAATGTCTGCCCTTGTGCATCCCTCATGGTATCAAGCCCTTTTACCAAAGGCCCTATGAAAAAGCAGGAAAATCCCTCAACTATGGTTTAGAATTATAGATCTAGCATTAGAAGGGGTCTCTGAGGTCATCTAGCCCAACCTTCTCATTTTACAGATAAGGAAACTGAGGCTTGGAAAGGTTAAGTGACTTGCCTAAAGTCATAGGTTATAAGCTCCAGAGGGGAGATTTGAACCCAGGTCCTTTGAGTCCAGAGTCAAGGCTCTTTTATCTTCACCACACTGCTTTTTATTATAAATGTGAAATTAGGTTCAAGGGAAGGGCAGAGGGGCAAAGTATTGGTCTGTGGTTATAACTGAGAAAGGGCCATAGCCTTCGGCCAGATTACTTCAGGAATAAAGCCTGGAGTCTCAGGATACTTGTACGACCCTCTGGACTTTTCAGAATGCTTTCCTATTTATTAAATTATTGAAGTCTCACAACATACCCAGGAAGGAAGGAGGCTTTGTCACTAATGTACTGTGTGACCTTGGGCAGGTCCTTTCTCCTCTCTAGGGCAAACATTATTATGCCTATATTACAGATAGAGAAACTGAGGCCTAGATAGGGGAAAGGACTTGCCTAAATGTCCATAGTAGATTAATGGCAGGGCTAAAAATGTGAATAAAGGTCCCTTGACTCTCCTTCTGGGGTTCCTTCCATTATTCCATGTAGAGTATAGTAAATAATAGATGTAGTGGTTTGTAAACCATCATGTTTATGTGGCTGAGGGCAAGTCATTTAACTCGTCAGAATACCAGATAACACTCTAAGAGTAAGTTGCCTGATCGGTATAAACCGAGGGAGCTTCCATCTCTGGAGTTTGCCCAGCCAATGAAATCGCAGATCTGAACAAGAAAATAATCTTATAGCTTTGAAATAACTGAGCCATTATTATTGTTATGAATGATACCCACCCTACCACTTTGCCTCTATGACCTAGGGCAATTCACTCAACTCTTCTGGACCTCACCTTCCTCATCTGTGAAATGAAAGGATGGGGACAGACCAGATGGCTTCTATGGTAGCTGTCTGTCTATGATCCCAGGTGCTATGATGATTATAATTGTTCCTGGTAAAGAGAAAATGTCTTCTTTCCATGGCATTTCTTCAAATGTCTTTGCCCCCGTCTCTAATTCATACTGTATGACCTTGGGTGAGTCCTTTGGCTCCATTGGGCCTCAGTTTCCTCCTCTGTAAAGTGAGGAAGAAGATTTGCACTAGCTGGTCTCTGAGCTATCTTTCCAGGCCTAGGTCTGTGATTCTATGACCAACAGTGGCATTGAATAGATGTAGGAAGCCTACTTTTTGTTTTCTGTTCTTCTGGCCAGAGAAGGCTACAACACGCTTGACAGGTCTGAGTACAGGCTCAGACCTCAATTCTGAATGAGGAAGAAGAAATCATAATAACACCTCACCCTGCTGAGGAGTTCAAGGGGAGCTCGCCACATTTTCAGACCGGTGTCGGTCATTTGGAAGATAATAGCTTATTTGAGAAAGGGAAGCAGAAATGTACTTGGGCTTGAATTTTTTTTTTTAATGTTTCTCTAGTTTGTCCGAAGGCAGTAAGACCACAATTCTTTCTGTTCCCCTGCTGATTTAACCTCAGTGAAGGAGGTTATTCAGCACTGCGCTTAGCATTTAGGGGACACACAGAACCATGTGGAATAAAGGGAGGAGGAAGTGGAGGGAGGCAGCCCGATTCCTCATTGTGTTTTGTGGCTCTGCCTCGGAGACTGGCCTGCTCTGAAGACACCAGTGGTGAGGGCTGCCTAGGAAAAGGGCAAGAGTTCAGGCTGAGGGAGCCGGGAAAAGCTTAGAAAGTTGGCCAGCTGCTTTTGCAGATGGATAGCTGGGGGATGGTGGGCAGGGAGACAGGCTGTTGGCTGAAAACCAACTCACTTGGGTTAATGTCTACACCTGGTTATTGGCATGGCTGTTAATGAGGCCTTTGTTATGAAGAGTAACATCAGGTGTGTTTTGCCTTAGAATTTACAAAGCTCCCTACATTCACTCTTTTTTCACCCTCACAAGAATTCTGTGGAGATGCTGCCTGCCCATTTTGCAGATGAGGAAACTGAAGCTTATAAAAATTAAGCGATTTGTCCCTGCTCACACAGATAGTAAGTGTCAGAGGTAGGATCTGAACCCAGAACTGTCTGAGTGCCGCCCTTGGAGTCAAGTCAATAAGCATTTATTGAACACTTGCTGTGTGCCAGACAACTTACTAAGTATTTCGCATACAGAAAAAAGCAAAAACAGTCTTTGTCCTCGAGGAGCTCACATTCTGATGGGGGTGGGAGGGGACAAAATATATGTAAATAGGCATGAACAAGATCCATGCAGAATAGATGGAAGGGAATTTCAGAAGGGAAAGAACTGGCAGCTGGGGGGACTGGGGAAGGGCTCCTGCTGAACGTAGGATTCAGTTTCAAGGGAAGGCCGGGAAACTAAGAGTTAGAAGTGAGGGGGGATAGTACACTAGGCGTGGGGGAGAGCCAATGCAACTAGAGATAATGACAAACATGCCAGTGTTGCTGGACCTGAGTTTGTGGAGGGGAGTTAGGAAGACTGGGAATGTGGGAAGGAACCAGGTTATGAAAAGTTTTAAATGTCAAACAGAAAATGTTGTATTTGAACCAAGAGTTACTAGGGAGCCACTGGGGCTCCTGAGTGGTAGAAGAAGGGAGGGAGAGAGTAACATGGTCAGACCTATACTGTAGAAAAATCACTTTGGTGGCTTATGGGGAGGATGGATTAGAGTTGGCGATAACCACAGCTGGGCGGCCAGTTAGAAGGTTGTTGCGATAGTCCAGGTATGAGGTGATGAGGACCTGGGCTGGACTGGGTGCTGTGTGAGTAAAGAGAAGGAATCGGGTGTGAGAAATGTGAAGCTGGAAATGACCAGATTGGGCAACAGGAATGAAGAGACCTTGAACAAGTCACTTAACTTCAGTTTCCCCAGCTGTAAAACGGGGGTCACAGTACCCAGCCTATCAATGCCCTACACAACTTTCCAAGACTCAAATTGCAGAGATGGTAGAGCTGTGTTGGTAAAGGAAGTTCCTCACCTAGGACTTCCTGTTACCAATGAAATTATACATGTCTGGCCAAGAAATAGCCAAACAAAAATACTAGTAGTATTTCTGACCAAGGTTGTTTGGGGGTTTCAATGAGATGGACTTGGAAAATGATCAGCAAATCTTAAAGCACCTCATAAATGTCAATGATTATTAACATTATTAGTTTAAGTCAAGTCCTGGCTGATGGTGGGACCCTACTAGGAAGAGCAGAATATATACAATTTAACATATGCCTGTGACATTCATATTCTCTCTCTAACAAGCAGTAATGATTTAAGGAACCAAGAAGGGGCTCACAAACATGGGCTCGTGAGCTGTATACAGTTTTGTTGCTGAATCATTTTTTGGTCTTATCTGACTCTTTATGACCCTATTTGGGGTTTTCTTGGCAAAGGATACTGGAGTGATTTTCCATTTCCTTCTCCAGCTCATTTTGCTGATGAGGAAACTGAGGCAAACAGGATTAAGTGACTTGCCCAGGTCACACAGCTAGCTTTAAAATGTCTGAGGCCAGATTTGACCTCAGGAAGATATGTCTTCCTGACTCCAGGCCTAGCACTCTATCCACCATGCCACCTAGCTGCCCTGTTGGCAAAACAATGCTATTTTGCCAAAATTAAAAAGGGGGGCGGTCTACATCTATATGTTGACTTATTTCATTAATAGTCAAAGGCCTTTCTTAACCTTGGCTTCATCAAGCTACCTGCTTTTCCTGGGCCTAGGTTTTCTCATCTACAAAATGAGAAAACTGGTCTAGACAGATAATCCCTAACATCCTCTCTGTGTCAGAAACCTATGATCCTATAGTCCTTGGAGTGGAGCAGAGCTGAGGCTTAATGCTCTCAAGAATGCAGAGGTGAGTGGGGAAGAGATCCCAGGTGATCAAGGAGGAAGGAGATCCACTTTGGCCTGTAATTTCCTCATCTGTAAAATTAGAGAGTCAGACTAGCCAGGGGTTCTTAGCCTAGGAGCCATGAAAGTGGTTGGCTTTTGTTTCTCTGTTTGTTTTTAATTTCAATAACTATATTTAACTATAATTTGTTTCCTTTGTAATTTTACTTCCTTCATTTTAAAACATTTTGAGGAGTTCCATTGTCATTGCTGAGTTGTTTTTCAGTTGTATCTGACTCTTCATGACCCCATTGGGGGTTTTCTTGGCAGAGACACTGCAATGGTTTGCCATTTTCTTCTCCGGCTCATTTTATAGATGAAGAACTGAGGCAACTAGGGTTAAGTGACTTGCCCAGGGTCACAGAGCTAGTAAGTGTCAGAGGTCAGGTTTGAACCCAGGAAGATGAGTCTTCCTGACTCCAGATCTGGTGCTCTATCCACTGAGCCACCTAGCTGCCTCAAAGATGTCCATAGGCTTCACCAAACTGCCAAAGGGAGTCCATGACACAATTAAGGTTCAGAATCCCTGGACTAGATGGACTTCTAACTCTAAATACTCTAATTCACACCATCCTATAACCCTTTGCCCCCTACCTCTGTCCTACTGTCCAAACCATAGAGCCCTCAACTGGGAACCCCTACTTATGCCTGTTGGTGCCCAACTTTGCCTCAATGCCATTAACTCCTCCCTCCCACTTTCTGCTTTCTTACTTCATTCCTCCTTCCTCCTCCTCTACCCCCTTCCCTGTCATACCTTATTCTCTCAAGGCCAGGCTCCACTTTCTTTACTCTGACATATTTATTATATTAATGTGTGAATGGCAGAAGGCTTTGGGAACACCTCAGAGATTTCCCTTCAAGTTCTTATGTATGTTAGGATGAGGGTCTTTTGGAGATGATACTAATTTGGTCTCCTTATCATATCAATTTGTATAAATTAAATAAAATAATAAGGATATTACTGAAGTCTCCAGTGCATTAGAGCTTTTGAAGACTATGCCAGTGGGGTGGTGGATGTTCAGGTAGTAAGCTGGAAAAGGTTGAGTGTGAGCTTTGCTGTCATTCTGGGACAAGCCTAGTCAAGGGGGGTGAGGCTCACCACAAGAAGGCTGGCCAAGAAGTGATGAGTGTTTTTCACCACAGCAACCCACAATGACCATCTACTAGGGCAGAAGAGGGGCTGCAGTCTTCATCAAGGGAAGAAGCATCCATACTGATAAAGTATTGAAAATAAGTAGTTAAAAATGGTTAAACAAATATAGATTAGGTTGCTGTAAAATCTTGTATCAGGTGGGAAAAAAATATGTATATTATGCAGCTCAATGGTGCAGTGGATAGAGTGCTGGCCCTGGAGTTAGGAAGTCCTGCGTTCAAATCCAGCCTCAGCTTACTAGCTATGTGATCATAGGCAAGTCACTTAACCTTTGTTTGCTTCAGTTTTCTCAACTGTATTATGGGGATAATAATAACACCTACCTTTCACGGTTGTTGTGAGGATCAAATGAGATAATATCTGGCAGGTATTTAACATAGTGCCTGGAACATAGTAGGTGCTTAACAAATGCTCGTTCCCCCTCTCCTTCCCTTTTCTTCCAACGAATAACATTACAAAATACTATCATTTCTTCTTTAAGAAGTTGCCAACACCAAAATTAGTGAGTTCTCAGTTTAAACTAACAAATTACTATAGTTGACACTAACAGTATAAACATGACTCTAATTAGTTTGAGAATCAATTATGCTATTTTAGTTGAAAATGGTGATATGCTGTCAGGAACATGAAAACATAGGTTGACAATACAAGTGTGTCCCCTTTAAGGAACTCCATGAAAGAAAATTCAAACTTGCAAAACTGAAAACACCAGGGAGTGATTACTTACATTATAAGAGGATTCAGAGCATTAAGAGCTACTGCCAACTGACAGTCCACCAGAAATAAAGATAAAGCATCTTTGAGATCAGAATATGAGTCGATAGGGAAAAAGGATCTGATTTACCAAACAAACTGTGACTTCTTTGAGGAGCGTAATTAACGTGTAAGGCAAAGCACACGTACATTCATAAAGAAGGGAGCCAGCTTGGAATCATTGACTAGGGCCAGTGGATGGACCGCTTTACACGCCTTGGTTGTTCAGTTATTGTGCATATTTCAGGCCACATGACCTGCTCAGAGTTCAAGGGAGTTGGTGATAGGTGGAGATTCCCGCTAAGAACTTCTGAGCATTCTCAGAGACTGGGTCTCCATTACCCTTATCAGCCACTCCAGGCAGGGGGATAATGAGCATCATTTCTCCAGTTGCAGCTTTCTTATGGAGAGAAAAAAAGTTAATTGCCCACAAATTGTTGGGTAATGAGACATCCTCATTTATCATTGTTTTCTTGCCCAAGGGGTGGAGGGGCAAGAAAATGGACAGAACAGCTTCGGTGCAGCTATCGGATGGTGAGGGGGAAAGTACCTTATGACCCTACAAGGCTTCTGAGTCACCAGAATCCAGTGGCCTAAGAGACAATATGATGCAGTGGAAAGAACACCAGATTGGGTGTCAGGAGGCCTGGATTCAGTGTCTTCCACTTGAAGCAGCTAGGTAGAACAGTAGATAGGGTATTGGACCTTAAGTCAGGAAGACCTGAGTTCAAATCCAGCTTTAGACACTTACTAGCTTTGTGACCTTGGACAAGTCACTTAACCCATCTGCCTCTGTCTCCTCAACTGCAATATGGGGATAATAACAGCACCTGCATCCCAGGGTTGTTGCGAGGATCAAATGAGATAATATTTGGAAAGCTCTTAGCACGGTGCCTGGCACACACTTAGTGCTTAATAAACGCATCCTTCCTTCCTTTCCATCCGTACAGTGGGCACAGAAGAATTTTATATCTAGTAGGGACATTAGAGGACTGAATCCTTTATTTTACAGAGGTGAAAAAGCAGGACCAGAGATGGAAAGTGACTTGCTCTGTTCCACACAGTGAGTCATCTGTTTTGCTAAGATTCCTCGAGCTATAACATTCCATGATGCTGTAGGTCCCCGAACAGCAGCACCAAGGCCATTCCTGCCTCCCCTGGAAGATGATTTGTGCAGGGAGGCTTCCCCTCCTACCTGAATGAGTCGGCCCTGTTCATTCTGCAGAGCATTCAGCCCTTGGCCCAGAGTGCCGTGACCCCTCTTGAGGCCCTCGCAGTCCTCCTGGAGCTCGGTGGCCTGGGCCAGAAGTTTGGGGACCTCATCAGCCAGGGTGGCCAGCAACGCCTGTTCCCGGCCCCCGGCAGCCCTGAACTCGGTTTCACGGTCTGTGAGGGCCTGAAGCACAGAGGCCTGGGCACCCTCTAGGCGGGCAAAGTTGTCTTCGTGGTCTGGGCATCGTGGGTCAATGAAGATGTTGATGCGGGAGCTGTCTGCCTTCTCAATGGTAACCAGGGCACTGTTGTCTTCATCAGGGTTGGTGCTGATGACGGGCGGGGGCTCTGTTACTGGCGTGTGATAGTGGTTCATGAAGAGGATGGCACCGGTGACTGTCAAAGCCAGCAGCACAGCGACAGACAGCAGTACGGTGCACAGGATGTAACCACAGCTCATGCGCTACAGAAAGAAAAGTGGACAAGGGGCGTGGGTAGGCAGAGAGAGAAAGAAAGACGTCAGACAATCAGTAAGGATGTGGAATGTCCCTTCCCAATTTTTCTTCCTGCCCATCTCTATCCTGGCCATTCTACATCTAGGATGTTACCAAGGTAGAAATTCTGGACCCTCAAGCCAAAACAGCAGAAAAAGATTCCCTCACTCAGTTCAGGCTTTTTTAATTGCAAAATCAATAGCCCTCCAGCAAGGCAGGAGCTGCTTAGGTGATATTTACACAGAAAGAGAAAGGAGGCTACAGAGACGGAATATTTCCTATATAGTATAACCAGGAGCTAGGAGATGCAGTCCTTGCCGTTAAGGACTTTCCAGTCTAGTTTAGGCAAACACAGAAGAGGCTTTGGGGTGCAGGGGAAAGAATTCTGCATTTGGAGTCAGGGGTTCTAATATCTAATTTCAAGAGCAGCTACTTAGGAGCTGGGGTAGCTGGGGCTTCTGGTCTGTGGCTCTCAGGTTTCTCATCTCTAGTATGAGGGGGGTGGATCTGATCACTTCTCGGATCCCCTCCAGCTTTAGATTCTAGGATCCCATGAAATGTTTTTAAGTAACATAAGACCAACATGATTGGTGCCAATTGTAGGGTAGGGGTTCAGAAGAGGGAGAGTTGGTTGTGTCTGGAGGGTCTTAGAAGGCTTCATGGAGGAGATGGACTGGAGACCAACCTTGGAGAATGGGTATTATTTGAATAGGTAGAAAAGAAAAGGGGGATCATTACAGGTGGGGAACATAAGCTTAGTGGGTCTTTTAGAGAGGTGAGCTGATAGGACTAAGTTCAATATGTGATGGAGCTATTGAGGACCCTGAAAACATTCTATACCGCCCTTCATTGAATCAGCAAACACTGGAGGAAGTAGAAAGCTGATGGGAAGCCTTCAGACAATGTGTGACTTTGGGGTTGATCTCTTGAAGACCTTTCAAGGGCTTCTAGCCTCGAAGTTTAGTTTCCAGAGCTTAAGGAACAGAAATGCTAACCACAGCCGCCTGTACTCTAAAATGTTTATTAACAGCACACAAACTATTGGTAGAGCATTCACACACACACACACACACACACACACACACACACACACACACACACGGATACAAAGAGATATGTATTTCCATTTCACTGCTACCCTTGGTCTCAGCCTTGTCCTGATTCTGGGAAATGAAGTTGCACACTTGGAGATTCACTCTATCCAGATTTGTAGACAGTGGCCCATGGAAGTTAGGATCTGTGAGGTTTTATATTGAGGTAGAAAAAGAGAAGCTAAAGACTTTTACAAATGTAGAAATGTAGGGTGAGAAGAGCCTAGGCATGTTTTAATACACTAATCATGAATAGGCCAGACAAGGGTAAACACAGGTTGGAAGAATGGTGTCATATGTATAATGGCAATAATATTGCTTTGTCTTCTCAATAGGCAGGGAAGGGGCTGGAAGGAAGGAGAGAATTTGGAACTTAAAATTTTTTAAAATGAATGTTAAAAAATGTTTAAATAAAAATTATAAACTTAAAAAAGAGCTTATGTGTCAGGGGCTATACCCACAGATTCATTCATTCTGTAGTTACTTCTATTTAGATCCTTCCTTCTCCCTCCGAAGGAAGGGGTCTGGCCTAATATATAGCAGTGGTTTCAAACTCAAATACAAGCAGGAGCCACTAATCCATACATAAGGATCCCTGTGGGTCATATATTAACTTAATTTTAAAAGGTAATATTATCTATGTTAATTGTATTTTTATTTATTTTGCTAAATATTTCCCAGTTACATTTTAATCTGGTTCAAGCTGCACTGGAGAGTGTCGTGGGCCACATGCAGCCTGCAGGCTATGTGTCTGACACCTCTGTCATATATATACATATATTTGTATGTATGGCAAACCACTCCAGTATCTTTGCCAAGAAAACCCCAAATGGGGTCACAAAAAGTTGGACATGACTGAAAAATGACTTAAATAGTGGAATAAGAGCCCTGGGCTTGGTGTCAGGAAACATAAATTCAAATCTTGGCTCCAACATTTACTAGCTCACTGACCTTTTCTAAGCCTCAGTTTCCTCTCTTGTAAAATGGAAATAATAATAAATAACAATAACAATATATTCTACCTAATTCACCGAGTTGCCAAGAAGTCATTTTGTAAACCCTAAAGTATACTATTATTAAGTGTCTCATTTTTTTATATATAAAATGGACATAGAAGAATTTAAGGGCCAGAAAGTACCTAAGAGATCATCTAGTCTCAATCCCTCATATGGATGAGTAAACTGAGGCCCAGGGGGCAGCTAGGTGGTGCAGTGAATACAGTGTTGGGCCTAGAGTTAAGAAGACTCATCTTCCTGAGTTCAAATCTGGCCTCAGAATCTTGTTAGCTGTGTGACCATGGGCAAGTCACTTAAACCTGTTTGCCTCAGTTTCCTCATCTATAAAATGAGCTGGAAAAGCAAATGGCAAAGCCCTCTGGTATCTTTGGCAAATGGGGTCGTGGAGAGTCAGACACAACTAAGATGAGTAAGCCACAAAACTGAGACACTGAGAAATGTGGTCTTTTCCCCAGTGTTGCATAGCACGTGTATTGGTCAATGTTCTAAAGTCAAAGGGTTCCATATCCTATACCAAGGAGTCTCCTTTGAGTTCAAATCTTGGTTTTGACACTGCGTGACTCTGGACAAGTCATTTGATACCTATGAGTTTCACAAGTATTTTGGGAGGGGAAAACCCATTTTGTAAACCTGGAAACACCCTAGAAATGTGCCTTGCATATAGTAGGTGCTTAATAAATGTTGGATTATAATCTGAATTCCCCACAAAATCAGATGAAGCTATATACCATTCTGTTTTCTGTGCAAGGGTGCCAAAGCCAGGAGGTCGAGTTTAGCTCCCCTGGGAAGCCTGGAAGAGAGTTTCAGGTGTTTTTTCTCTTCCCCCAACCCAAGCTGTGAACTCTGAAGTACCTCTTCCATCTGCCTTGCTACATCCCTCTTTCACTCCCCCTTTATTTTCCATTTCCATAAAGCTGACATAGCCAAGGGCTCTGGAGGTTAACACTCCCAATCAAATCACCCAGAAGGCTAGGAAGACAGGTCATCTAATAGTTCGTGGAAGGAAGGAACCCAGAGAGACAGGACTGTGAGAGAGCTATCATCCTAGCGAAAGAAACATCCCTTTCACCATTTGGCTCCATGTCTGCTGATAAAGCTAGGGGCAAGGACCTGGCAATATGGAAAAGGCATAGCCAGATTTATGGGCTGTTTCTCTGGGGATCTCAATATCTGACATGACCAAAACCTATCAAGCCAGAGATTTTGAGTCATAGAATAGGAAAAAAATTTTTTTAGAGCTAGAAGTGGTCTTGAAGATTGTATATTCTACCCCACTTCCCATTTTACAGATGGGGAAACTGAGGCCAAGCTAAAAGAAGTCATACTCTCCAGGTCACAATTTAGTTCATTTGTTAGTATCTACTGAACTCAAGGCTGTATTATATACTGGAGTTACAAAGACAAAAAAGGAAAAAGGTCCCTGCCCTGGGGATGCTTACATTCTATTTGGAAGATACATCTACAGAAATAAGCAAATACAACATAATTCCCATGAGCACTAACACTTGGTGTGGGGGGGAGTTACTGGTTTGGGGTGGCTCCTTCGAGAACCAAGTCCAGAATTTAGGGCTTCTGCCTCCAAAATCTTTCTATTATTATGCCATTGGGCCTCTCTTTGATTAATCTGAATTAAAACTATTTACTGAGTACCTATGAGAGACAGCACAATATAGTGAAAAGACCAATGAATCTGCAGTTGGAAGACCTGGGTTCAAATTCCACCTCAGATTCTTAGTAGTTATGTGACCCTTGGCAAGTTCCTTAACCTCTCTGAATACCTGTTTCCCCATCAGTAAAATGAACTTACTCCATAGGGTTGTGATGAGGATGGATTGAGATAGAAGCCTTAAATGTCAGTCATTACTATATGGTTAGCATTGTGCTCGGTGCTTTGGGGGATGAAAAGAAGCATAAGACAATATGCCTGATGCTAGGAAGCTTAGGGGATTTTATCAAGGAGGAGACACACAGTAAAGGATGATATAGAATTAAGCATCCACAAGGTTACAGGAGGAATTTCTTGACTGTGAGCTCCAGACTCAGACACCAGATACCAATGTGTGCTTGGCCTTGCTACCAATCTGGACCCCTCTTCCAAACCCTTTTGGATTATGTGGCATGGCGTGGAAAAGAGGCCAGGACTGCTTCTAGCAATTTATTCAAATCTGATCATGCCAGGCAGAGTGGGAATGAGTCACCCTCCCCCATCCCACCACTTCTGCACATGCCGAACAAGTTAACCGGTCTCCAATGTGCCAACCATTTGCTGAGGAATCCTACCCTGCCCTTTCCTCCACCCTTACTGCGTTGCCTGGCGTTCTCTGGGCAGCTGCTGTCCGTGGTCCTCCCTTCCTCCTCGCATTACACCGAAGGCAGGGCTTTCCCTGACCTATGCCAGAGCAATACCTCTCCAAAACCCCAAGGGAGCACGAGGCTGAGAGAGTCCCATGTGTTCAGAGACAAAGGACAACTTGGGTTTGAAAGCCAGATCCCAAGTGCTGCATCAGCAAAGCCTCCCTGTCATCCTCCCTGCCTTTCGGCCCTCTCCCCTCAGCACAAATCTGTTTGGAGCAGTACCTTTCCCAGAGCCACCCTTGCCCTGGGAATCTGATCATTTGGCTTTAAGGGTGCTCCTGCCAAGGGCCCAATCTGATCTAGGGAGACCAGATTGAAGTCCCTCCTCTGATTTACCACCCTTTGTAATCTGAGAGCCCCATCTCCTCATTCCTGATACTTGGCCCCTTGATAAAGAAAGAGGCAAATAAAGGGGTTCTGCAGAAATAGGTAGGAGTGGGATGATGGGAATTAAGTAGGCAGGAGGGGGGTAGTGCTGGGGACTAGAGATGAAAGAGGCTACTCAGC